TATATTATATTATATTATATTATATTATATTATATTATATTATATTATATTATATAATTTTTTTAAATAAGACCAACTCAACACAAATCACTTAGAGCTATAAAAATCCTTTATCAATGTTAACAAAAAAATACTAAATTTCTATTACACTTTCAAATCGGCATCCTTTCAAATTCAATAAATAGGCTTGGCTGAACTGGGTAGCTGGTGTAGTTAGTATATTCTGAATAGACATAGAAACTATTATTCCGTAGGCAACATTAGACTCGGCAGTCCTATCAACCTCTGATCTCTTGTGGCCGGGCAATTAAAAAGCAACAAAATTATTAAAAACTGTCAAAATAAAGCGCGCCTGCATAAAATGCGCCACACGCCAACTCGAGTGGGGCCGGGACGAGACGGGCCCAAAACCGAAAGGCAATAAGATAAAATATTTTATAACGATGAGAACGATGACTTTTTGGTTAATCGTTAAGATCTACATGGAGGGGCTGGGGGAGAGGAGAAGGGGAGCACTGAACACGAAACCGAAACCGAAAAACTAAAAAACTGAAAGCGAAACATAGTTGTAGACAATGGGACAATGCTTGGGTACAACTTTACTACTACTGCTAGTAGATGAGAGAGGTTCGCGTTCGAGCTGTGTCAAGTCTGTCTGTCTCTCTGTCTCTTGGGCCTCGCGCCAACAACAACAACACGCCACACACATGCGTAAATTAAATGATAATTTATGATCAACACCTTTTCAGATTCTTCTTGTGGAACTCGGAACTCTCAACCCAGGCGAACGCTGACCGTTTAGTTGGGTGTCCTGCTGCGCACACGTCTCGGGATTTGTGTACCGATCGCGCAATGCGATAACTCAACCTGTTCATTCGTTGCTTGACTTGACTGGGCCTGGCTTGGGTTGGCTTGTTGGTTGCTGGTTAGCTTGCACTTCGATCGATCGTGATCTTCAGCTCTTGGACTTCAGATTTTTTTTTTTTTATTCGAAACAGCGTTTCATTTTTCCCAACCTTCTGCTACGGGTGTAAGTGTGTGTGCGTGCGTGTGTGTTTGTGTGACTGTTTATTTGTTTTTACGATTTATTGACTTATAATTTTTATTAGCAATGGAATTTCTTGGAAATCCTGCAACGATCTACCACCATACGATATATCGCTCCCCCATCCCCTCCCCTACAGAACCCCTTCACAATTAACTTGAGGCCCCTCTGTTTATCGCTACCGTCTGTTTTGCTGCGCCTGAGATTATAAAACAGCTGATGTTTGGATATGAATCGATCTTGAACTTGAATAGATATGCTAGATAGATAGATTACTGAGCAATATGAGTGCTATATGAATGCATAGATTACTAAGGGAATGAATAGGAGTACTATAAGAATGCATATGAATAAGAGTACATAAAGTACTCTATATAGATTGTCTCTCAACTATTATTGATAGATGCCTTAAGCTTCATTTTTCATTGATTATCACCTGAGATGGCATTGTCATTGTTGGACTGCCACTTGACCAATGAACTTCTCCGCTTTTATGTAAGCCTTAACACTTTTTTAAGAACTTAAGCGGCTTACGGCATTTACGACCGAAGGCAAAGGCAAAAGGCGAACTTCAACTTGAAGTCCACAAAAGGAAAACCAAGTGAAACCCTAGGAATTGAAACATTGCCATTGAGGAAATTTGTGTCAGTCTGTCGGCAGTGAATTGAGAGTGGTGGAGGATGGAAGATGGAATATGCACTGGAAAGGTGCTCAGTTTTCTAATTATAGTTCGCTAAATCACTTGACACAAGCGCCCACCCGATTGAGTAGCCCCACATGCCGAAACATCCCGCCAGAGAGGGGACAGAGCAGTGAGCAGATCAGAGCTGACAGCGCTGTGGGTTGAGGTCTCAGTTCCATACCGGTCCATCATCACCAACGACATCATTATCAACGCCATCGGCGGCGGCAAAAACTCAACTCAACCCAAATGCGTCACGGAACTCCAGAAACGGGAACGGACGGGCCACAGACCCATATAAGAATATACATACATACAAGTGCACACATACATACATAGGTATTCATATGTATGTATATAAATGTATGCATTGGCAGGGCTGACAGCGGCAGAGGCGCAAACAAAGGCAGAGTGAGAGAGCGAGCGAGCAAGAGAGAGACGGGCAAAAGCGCAAAATACATAATAATAAAAACAGAATGTACAATAAAACGTATAAAAATGAATAACGCGCAGCGACGACGTCGACGTCAACGTCGGCGACGGCGACGGCGCTGATGCGAACGAATAAAGAACACACGCACATTTTGTGGTAACTTGATACTCTTTCCAGCTACCCTCCAGCCAACCGTGGCATTCGACGAACGAACGAACGCAAAAGCAAAGCGATGAGCCCAAAGCTGAACGGGAGATCGACACACAAACATACACTAATGCACACAGTTACAAGCAAACACATAAACGCACACACACATAGGCACACTGAAATGAACATTCAGCAACGGGTCGGTGTCTGAAACGGGGCGATTGGTATTGGAACACTGGAACGCTGCTCATATTTGAAGTAGTCTTAAAGTTTTTATGTTGTTGTTATTGTTGTTTTCTTTCATTCTTACTGCTTCTTTATTTTTTTTTTGCGCGCGCGATTTGCTGCTGGTGCTTGCTGTTCATGCCCATTGTTGTTGCTGTGGAGCGTGTGGACCATAAACAATTCCAACAGGATCGAAGGTGGAAGCCAAGTAAATGAGATGCAATTGAGTTCCACAAATGAGCACAGTGGCTCTTCAGCTTCATATTATTATAAACTTTTCAGAAATGTAGTAGGGTAGGCATTATTTGTTGTTGTAAAAATTATTTGAGGTAAACAGTTAGAAACTCTAAATTTTTTGTGATTTAATGTGAAACATTAAAAATTTATATAACAACTAAATTGCCTGTAAAAATGCATAAGACCTGGAAGAAGCCACTGCACAAGCGGAAAATCGTAAGATAAACAGATCACAATAGTCAACCACTCAGCCCACTCAACCCACCCAATGCATTTCTTGCAGTGGTCAAATATATCATGGGCAGGTCGCTTGGTCTACTACATGCAGCCTCTATTGGAGCACCTATTCGAAATATGGCTACAGCAATTGCCCTTTCCGACGCTCCTCAAGTGCATATACACCTGCGTCGTGCTCTTCTTTATGCTGCTGCCCGTCCTCTATCCCCTGATGGTGATGGGCCTCTACTATGGCATCTGCCAGTTTGTGGGTGAAAAGCATTTCCATATGGTATTCCAGCCCCACTGGGATCTGATTGGCGCCGCCAGCAATCTGTGGAAATTCCAGGTCACCAACAAGAAATATATGCTGTTCATAGCCATGTATATAGACCGATATCGTGTCATTATAACGGCCATATCATCAACCGTTGACTATATGCGCATGGCACTCTGCTTTGTCTTTGGCTAAATGGGTGGGGACGGGTGGGTAGAAGACATTCAGAGAGAGGCAATCTACGGAATTTGACGTGCGATACGAGGCGGCACTTTATCACATTTGGGACAATAAATTTGATATATATTTATTTTGTCGTTTCAACTGGCAAACGAAACGTTTCTAATCCAGTTTTTAGCTATGTATTTATTGAAGTTAATCTTCCAATTTTCTTTATTTTTTGTTTGTTGTGTTTTTCCCCTTTTGTTGTTTTTAATTACTTAAGGAAACATTATGTTAAATGACTGTTAGATTTTGTTAATAAAGTTGAAAAGGAATTAAAAATTAAAATGAAAATTAACATTAATATAAAAAACTTGAGAATGTGGAAATTATCATTAACTGCTTCTTATAAACATATTTCAATGAATCAATTTTTATGCATATTATTTTAAACATTTTTGAATAGCTCAACATTTCCTATAGTTCGTTATATGGAGCCTCTATGAAAGTTATATGTACGTATGTATATCTATAAACTTGGCATAATCTCTTTATATATCTTCATAGTTAAAGATTATAGGTTATATAGCTGCTTTAGGCTAGATTGTTATCAGATTGCAATTTTGATCATATTTACATACATATACATATATATCCTTATAGATATGCATATATAGGTATATGAATATCATCTTATGAACTCTATATACTTAAGATAGATGTATGTGCCTGTATCATACACTTGACAAGAGTCCTGATATATGTTAGAAAACACTCAGCTTTTATTCTTACAAAATCATTTTACAATAGCGGTAAAAATATGGTTCCCTATGGGAAAAAGAAATTTGTCTATACGAAGTATACAGAAATACCTTTTTAAATAAAATATTTTAAACAGTTATATGAAGTTATTTTGCTGGATTGAATGAAAAATATGCTAAATAAAGTTGAAGTTGTGCAAATTAAAGTGGCGACTGCAACGAGGTCTGCTCAAAGAGTTTAAGAAATCGTTATGGAACGTTTTGAGAGCTGCCAACTACAATGGGGCAAATGTATAGCTATATATATATTGATATATGTGTATAAGTGTGTGTGTCTGTTTGTGTGTGTGCGTACCTCCAGACGCGTCTTTACTGCACATTGAAAATATAAACAGCAAAAACAACAACGAGAAGTGTATGAAAAGTTAAAGTAGCAGCGCTCAGTTGCCGTTGCCGTTGCTGCTGCTGCCGTTGCTGCTGCTGCTCGATGCGGCGCAGCCATAAACATATGTATATCAGGTTACCAGCAACAACAACAACAACAACAACTATAGCAGTAGTAGCATGAGGAATAATATAATAAAAAGACGTGAGGAGGACGACGACGACGGCGACGCAGTGCAAAAACTAACGTAGCTATTGCCAGCCTACTATATCAAGCGCATGCGAAAGTATCTGTGAGATACTTTTGTCAGCTGCATATCAGTAACTGAGTGTGAGTGCGTGGCTGTGTGTGTTGCGGTTGCCAAGGCAGCCAATTTTTTTTTATATATATTGCGACAATTTTTCGCTGTTTTTATTGTTGTTTTAATTACATTTATTTTTTGTTTTTTATTTTTTATTTCTGTTGTGAATTGAAGTTCTTTTGAGTAAGTGATATGCCGTTTGGACTAAAGATATATACCTACATACATATGTGTGTGTGTGTGTGTGTGTATGCATGTGTATTTAGGATATTAACTTAATGTAGTTCGACCTTTGTTCTTAGGGCCACTTTAAAATCCATTTGCCATATTCCATTCACATTTGGCGCTGTTTGCATTTCACATGACTTTCACGGCAGAGAGTGTGTGTGAGAGAGAGAAAGAGAGAGGGCAATCTGGCTCGCCGTGTGTCAACAAAAGGATGCTCGAAAGGATGTTGAATATTTGAAAAAGTTGCCTATCGGCCATCTGAAACATGCCGAAAGTGCATGTGAGAGTTTCCCAAATGTTTCGTCTATTTGCTTAAGCGGAAATGCAGATGTTTCTGTTGTTGTTTGATTTGGCTGTCCTTTGGCAAGGACACTGCATTCGTTGCCAGTGTAGTGCAGTCCAGCCAACGGCTGTCGTACATATGACAATGCGCCTACGAAAACAATGTTCTGATCATGAAAATGCTCTCCGACAGATTTTCAATTTCATTTTCATGATCATGAATATGAATATAATGAATATACTGTATATACTGCATATACTTTGTAGGCTATGTCAGCATATTATCCTTGACACTAATTAGCCACAGCTACCCCCCACCACCACCCACAGCCACTCACAATCAACGGCCACAAATTGGCCTTGTTTCATAAGTGTGTAAACGTCAAGTAATTCAAATTGAAATACCAATTCGTTTCGCACGCGTTGACGCTTAACCAAATAACTGCATATATATACATATATACTTATAGATCTGTATACATATATACATACATATTATTATTATATTGTATATATATTAACAATTTGTATTTTCAAAGAGAACTTACTCTTTATGCTCGGCCGCGCGATCTCTTTGTCGTCGATTCTTGAACCAATTGGAAACCTGTAAAGATATACACATACAACTATATTAATAAATATACATATATATATATACTCATATTCAGTATAAATAGTCCTCCAACTCTATAAATAGCTGAATACATCATTTTCAAATACATTTTCTTTGCCAGCTGATTAACGGCATGCAATTAACAGTTGACAAATTGCGAATGCTCGCTGAACGGTGCAATTGGCTACCTGGCACTGCTCGCGCTACTCACCTGTGTCGTGGTCAGTCCCGTGGCCTCGGCCAGGTCGCGTTTCTCCCGTGGCGATGGATACGGATTGTGCGCATACCAGTCTCTCAATACTGAACGGGACTTTTCCTGCAGGACAGAAATCGATGGTTATTGAAGTTGTATATAGGGAAGGGGAGGCATTATGATTAGGAAAAAACAGATGAATCCAGGGAATTTCTTTTGATTTGTGCTGAAGCAGCTTTTAGGCATAGTCTATAATTTGGGCTACTGCAGCATATCTGATCTGCCACGAGCTCTGTTCGCAAAGACTTACGGATTTTTTACTACACATACACAGTGAGTAATATAAATATTCGTTTGTGTCCGGATATTGTATGTTATGTAAGTTAAGTTAAATATACTGATATATACCTTATCGGAAAGGTAATTTTCCCACCTACAATTCAGCATTTACACTTTCTTAATATCAGTTAATATTATATGTTTTATAGGCCTTTGAAGTTGAAGTTGAAATATAAAATGAAGAACGAGTATTAATGTTGCTCACTGTATATTTTTGATACATTTTTTATTTATTTATGAATATCTAGCTTTTTCTTTTAAATTTCTTCTTCTGCCAACATTTTTTTTTTTTTGCAATTCTCATGGATTTTATTCTAAATATTTATTAAAATATGATATTTAAATTTCTAAAATAAAAAACAAAAAAAATAAATATAAATATAAATATATATTTACTATTGTTTTTCGGTTTGTATCCTTCTTCAAAAGGGTTTACAATTGTATAAAATTTAATGTTAGTTGAGTTAATAAATTAAAATGCAGTGCTAAAACTTTTTCCCTAATTTTTTTATTGTAAAAAACTGCACTTAAAAAGAGTTTAATCTGAAACTATAAATTACCTTGAATAATACCACGAAATATAAGCATGCATATTAATACATTAAGTATATATAATATACATAAAATAATTATGCTCATACATATATATATTTACATTTTTTAAATATAGAAAAACAAGCCCTCGCAGAACTCCTACTTCAATCATTCCACACTTGCTTCCTTCTTCATTCTATATCAGTTCTTCCACGCCTCGCTCTGCCTGTAACAAACACTTTCACAAAACCATTACACCCTATCCTTCCACTTTCAATGGACATAAAATGTAAACTAAAAACTGCATCAGATTTTTGCTGCTCATAACTTTGAAAACTCCCCAACATGAAGAGTTAATCAATTGAAGGCCTGCATAGATAAAGCCCAAAGGCAAACAGGAAGGCAGGTAGGAGGCAGGAGGCGTTGCCCAGGAGTAAGCCAGGAGTGCACAGGCTAAAGCCCAAAGCTGAGCCCAGAGACGAATGGACATTTCTACGATTTCATTTTGTTTGCCCTTTGTTGCCGCAATTAATGTGGCAAGCAGTGAAGTGGAGTGAAGTGAATTGGAGTGGCAGTGGCAGTGGCAGTGGCAAGGTGTGCGTGGTACTCACCTTAAAACAGTAGCTCGTCTCCTCGCCGTCCCAAATGGTGCGGGGCAATGGAAATTTACGGCGAACACGATATTTGCCCACAGCACCCAAAGGTCTTCCGCGCAGTTTTTCGGCTTCCACGTAATGCGCTACAGTGAAAGAATTTCGGGTTAGTCAGAGTGAATGGAAAAGGAAGCAGGAGAGAGAGTAAGTTGGGGAGAGATAGTAACAGAGAGAGAGAGAGAGAGAGAGAGAGAGAGAGAGAGAGAGAGAGAGAGAGAGAGAGGGCGAGAGAGAGAGATAGCTAGTTGTACTGCGTCTCACCTTTCAACCACAGAGCCTGCAGCTTGGCATGATTCTGGGCTGAGAAATGATGATGCTCGAGCAGCCGGTACAGCTCCTTGTACTGGCCACGATGGAATGCGACGACCGCCTTGGCCTTCAGCACAGATTCGTTCAGTTGCAGTTTATCACATTGTGGCAGCGACCAAAGGAAGCGGCCCAGTCTTTCGATGTTGCCCGCCTGTTGCAGAACCTACGAAAAACCAGAGAGAGAGAGCGGGGGAAAGAGAGGGAGATCAGCCTGAAGTTCAGTGTTTCTTTGGGAGCTGCTGCTCACCTCACACACGCAGGCCACCTGCTCCTGCGTGAAGCCGAAGCTGGGCAGCGCCTCGCGTCCGGCTGTGGCTGTGGCGCCGCCATTGCTGCCGCCGCTGCTCAGGTGCAGTCCGCTGGCATTGATGCCGCCACTCAGCCCACCACCGCCGCCGCCGCCGCTGCCCAGACCTACGCCCACACCGCCCACGCCGCCGCCGTTGTGCGTCAACATATCAAGATTATTGTTATTATTGCTTGTGCTGTTGTTGTTGTTGTTGTTGTTGTTGTGCAACGCTACCACCGACCCACTCAGCCCCGTCGGACTGTAGGGCGGCGTGTGCCGTGCCGTGAGCACCGCAGCCGCATTGGCCGCAGCCAAATCGTAGAAATCTGTGGCGGGATGCTGAAGCATATTTGTCTCCTTCTCTCTTCTCGCTAGCGAATCCGTTGAGGAGCTGATCAGCCCTAGACCAGGGATCTGGCTATGTGCGTTGAGTCTAGGCCGAAGGCAGCTCAATGCATCGATTGCCTAGCGGAAATGGGGCTTCGGTTGTCTTTGGTATTTTGAGCGCTGCAACAATAAATAAATAAATAAATGTTTATATATAATTTGAAATAAAATATAAATTCACATTGAAACAAGTTTTATTCAAAAATAATTAATTAAATTATGTAAACATATTTATAAAATTAATAATAAACAGATAATTTCAATATTTATGCAGCAGCTATATATTTATAATATAAATAAATTGTTTAAATATTTATTATATATTTTATTTATATATTTATATATGTATATAATTTAAATATTTATATTATTTTATATTTATATTATTTATATAATTAAATTTATATAATTTTTTATATTTTTATATTTTTTGTCTCTTTACTCTGTAATTAATAAATTAACAAATTTTTTAGTAATTTTTCTCAGTCAAATTCGGCAGGAAAAACAAGGCATAAGACGAACCCACGGTCGATCAAAAAATCTGCTGATGATCTGAAACCAAGAACTAGATGTATAGGTAATAAAATCTACATATATCTATATATATAGTTCATAGAAAATTATAAAAATATATTTATATATATATATTTATTTATTTATATATATTTAAACTAAAATAAAATATTAATTAAGAAATAATTTAAAATATTTAATTTGTTACTATTGCTAGATAATAATAAGAAAATCCTTTGATTAATAAATAATATTGATATATATAATAATAATAAAATAAATAAATAAATAAATAAATAAAATAAATAAAAATTTTTTAATATAAACTAATAGCAGCAATAAATTTTCTTCTATAAATTAAAATATAAATAAATTATTTCTTTATAAACAAGTAACAGCAATAAATAATTTCTTTTATATTAATGATGAAAAAATTTTTCTTACTTCTATTTTAAATCAAACCAATTGAAAAAAACATTTTTGAATGCCGTAAATTTAGTAAAAATCAAAAATTTAGTAAATGAATATAAATAAATATAAATAAATAATTATAATAAATAAATAAAAATCTGCATTATATTAATAAAAAGTTACAGCTCAAAAAATGTAGAGAAATGTCATTGAAAATAAATTCAAGTAAAGCCTCTTCAAAATTCCATAAGTTCTGGTTGAAAAATTCTTGTATTTTTTTTAACAAAATGTTTAAGCCCGCCCTGTAAATAAATTAGTTTCTAAATAAATTAGTTTCTAAATAAATTAGTTTCTAATTAAATTAGTTGATTATTATTTAAGATTTATGATTTTTGAAAATGAAAAACAAATTTACAAAGGTTTTCTATTTTTCTATAATTACATAACAATTTAAATAATTAAAGTGTAAAGAACTGCATTAAGTCTAGGCAGACTGTTATCTCTCACTCAACATGAAGATAATCAGCATTAGTTTTAGAAAATATTTCAATATTTACTGAAAGAACAATTCCAATCGAGGCAGGTGTCCAATGGCCATGCTAATTGCTGGCGATTTTTCATAATTTTATTGCCGTAATTCTCGTTCTGGAAATGTTTTTGTTTTCGGAACGATAATCGAGCGAAATTAAGCTGTTGAAACAGCCATTAGAGCTAGAAATAATGAATATATTCCCATATTCCGCCGATCTATGCTAGACTAAACATTATGAAATATGGCCAAACGGAATAAGAGATTCCAGCAATGGGCATTACGGAACGGGACCCCATGTTGTCAAAGTCGATTAGTTGATCGGCTATGGGGCAGGTGTGTATGTGTGTGAGTCTGCAGGTGTGTGTGTGTGCTGGTGTGTGTGTGTGTGTGTGTGCTTGTAATACAAATTCTTTGATTATTCAAGTATGAGCTACTCGACGCAACAAAAATAAACTTTTTACACAACATTAAATGAGGCGCATGCTGTTCATATATATATATATATATATATACATACATATATATGTATGTATATAAATATATATATTTGCATAGCGATGATTTGCTGCAATGCATCCATCAGATAAAATAACTGCAAAGGTCAGCTCAATTGATCGCAGCATTTGCCAAGATCTCAGATCTATTATGTGACCCATCCGCTCGACCCCCCCATGGGCTTTGCCCTCTATCCCCCTCTATCGCCTGTCCTGGGTAAGACTAAGCAGCGTCGCCTAAGCACCTCGTCTATGTTTTCAAATTGAGGCAAAACTGCGCCGCAGCGAGATTCGAGATATTTTCGGATCTGTTTTCAATTTTCAGCGCGCTCTCTCGCTCGCACGCTGTCGCCCTCTCCCACTCCCGCTCCCACACTGGCTCGGCGTGAGGCAGATTATATATACAAGAAAAAAACATTTCATTTGGCTGCTGTTCCTATTGCTGCTGCTGCTGTAACAAAAATACCAACGCCAAGTTGCCTGCCTGCTCTTGAGTCATCGGCCTAGGCCCGACGTATCCACCGAGATCCGTCGAGATCCACTCACCCCCTTCGCTCGTTCCCATTTGGCCAAGCGTCAGATATATGTATGTATATATGTATATATATTTCTTTTTTTTGGCTTGTTTTATGTTTGACGCAAGTAAACAAGCAAAACGCTTGCTGCCTCTGCGAATGTGAAACGAAATACGCTATATAATCGACTATATATACACATATCTATATCTATGTATGTGTGTATGTGTGTGTGTCTGGTCAATCGCTCGTGTGCGATCGGCAATTTATATAGTTGAAATAGTGTACAACACCGTCATACGATATGGCACTACACAAGCAAAACGATCAATCGTACAACAATCAATCGAATTGCAATCAATTTTCGCTCTATATACAACAAATATTCCAATCAGAATATTTGTGTTTTTCTTGTGCATTTTCTCATTTTCAATTTGATTTCGAATTGAGTTTGTTTTATTTGATTGAAATTGAACTAGTATCTAGTACTTGGTTAGTTAGTGGATAGAGATCTATAGAGATTCTAGTGTAATGGATCCGTATTACGAATTTGATGCTTACATATGGTCTTCCAATATTATTTCATTTATCGATAACATGTATAACATATCAATATAACATATGTTTACTGATTGAAAGACTGCTGCTGATTGATTGACTGAATGAGTGTATTACGAAATGATTGACGAACTAAATAAATGAAATTTAGTCTAAAATATATAGGAAATATGTCGAGGAAGTAAGCAAACGGAATTTGTCATTGATTGAGTGATTGATTGATTGACTGAATGAGTGTATTGATAACGAACTAAATTAATAAATAGTCTATAAAATTAAGTAAATTTATCCAAGCAGTAAGCAAGCAGAATTTGCTATTGATTGAGTGATTGATTGATTGACTAAATGAATGAATTGATAATGAACTAAATAAATGCAATTTAGTCTAAAATATATAGAAAATATATCGAGGAAGTAAGCAAGCGGAATTTGTCATTGATTGAGTGACTGATTGATTGATTGATTGACTGAACGATCAAAATAAATCATCCATAATATTAAGTAACTTTATAAGTGCAGTTAGCAATTAGGATATGCCATTGATTGAGTGATTGATTGATTGATTGACTACATGAATGAATTAATAACGAACTAAATTAATGTAAATTAGACTATAATATTAAGTAAATTTATCCAAGCAGTAAGCAAGTAGAATATGCCATTGATTGAATGATTGAATGAAGAATTAAATATGAGACTGCTTGATTGAGCGCTGAATCGAAATTGAAGTATTATTAATCCAAGTTATGCAAATTATTTTATTGACAAACTTACTGCTTGATTGATTCATTATGATTTTATATCAGAGACAAGCAGTATTCTGATTGATTGATTGACTTAATGACACTTGCCTAGAATAATATGCGACTGAATTTACGACCTTACTCAGACAAAACTTTAGCTCTCTCCGATAGTCTGTTTAAAGTTTTCAAGATTGATGTTTGCAAGCCCCTCACCTAACTGTCAACAGTTAGAGTCGATCTTCGATTTTTTAGCCATTCAACTGAGCTTTCGACCTGTTGAGCACAATCTAATCGAAACTTAATTTGATTACAACACTTAATGAATTACAAAAGAATCAAATTCCTTTGTGTGTGGAATGTTTTCGCCTGACCCGATTACAAATTTAGAATCAAGTAGCACATTCGATATATACATAGATGATGTTCGCTTAATGGCACTACGATATGATCTGTGCTGCTGCTGCTGCTGCTGGGGCGAAAGACCTGCCATATGCAGATGCCCCCAAGTGCTGTGAGGCAGCAGCCACAGCAGCCTCTCAGATACTTTATCTGATGCTGGCGCGAGCCTCTTCAGTCATTCGAATCAAACTGAAATGAATTTGAATTTACAATAGAAATTCAGCTCGACTTACACACAGTTTGGAAATGAATTTACTTCGAATGTGTTATCTGTCAGCTTGTGGATTTCCTCTTCTACTACCTCTTCTTCTTCTTCTTCTTCGTCTTCGTCTTCTGTTTACTCTCTGCTTGACTTTTATAAGCTTTTAATTTGAGTGTTATTGTTATTGTCTTCGCTTGTTTGGCTTGCTCGCCTGTCAAATTTAACTGCATGCGGGAGCAGCTCACCAGCAGCAGCAGCAGCAGCAACAACAGCAACAGCAACAACAACTGAAAGCGGACACCTTGGCCCTGGCTGGATTCTATTTCTATTTCTATTTCAGCTCTCCCCGAGTGCGTGTGTTTGTATTTATTTTTTATAGAGTTGTCGTCGTATTGAATCTATTTTTGTTGTTGTTGTCGATTTTTCTGTTGTTAATCAAATCGCATTCAAACGAGTCTATTGTGATCAGCGCCTAATTAGTTTCTAATTAAAGTCGAATCATATAAAAGTTTTCAACTAATTTGATGCATAGTTGCAGCTCGAATTGGAATGTCGAGAGTTTTTTTTTTTTTTTTTTGGAGATCTCGAAAAGATTTATTTTATTTCCTATGATTTTTTACCTCTTTCATTCGGGAGCACTGCGACACGTTCGAACTGAGCTGTGAAACTAAACTGTGTGGGGAACAGATGCGGATTCCAGGGCCGAGGCTCATTTGAGCCAAGTTAGCTATGGGCAAGTGCACGGCGGGCACTGCGGTACCATCCGAGTCCAGAGACGAGGACTGTTTTCAAAGTGAATTATCTGCGAATTATGGGCGTCTGTGTTTATACAATGTAATCGACAAATTCAACAATTCGAAGCTGTTGCTGCACATTTGCCAGCCTTTTCGTGGAAGTAAACAACAGAAAAAGGGTAGGGGCTGGGGGGAGGGTAACGTAAAAAGAAAACCAGCTAACTTGTAAATGACCGACAGCAGCGGCTCTGCTTTGTATCTAGAAGATAACAGAAAAAAAGACGTTAGGGTGTATATTTGCCATTTGCTATTTAATTGCCAGCTGGTATTCAACACAAATATCTAATGAATGAAATTTGTCAACTTAATGTGCGATGCGCTGGGGCATGCCCGGACTAAATGTATCCGCATTTCTCTCTATCTGCATCGCCATCTGTAGCTGTATGTGTGTGTCTGTCTGCGTGCCACATTTGCTTAAATTCTGAATTTGAATTTGAATGAAAGACTGCCGCTGCTGCTGCTGCTGCTGCTGCTGCTGCTGCCTTCTGCTTTTGCTGTTTGCCTGGCTAATTCGGTTTGCATCGGCTTGCATCGCATCTCAGTCTAAATTGGCCAAACAACCGGCCAGCGATTCGCAATCTTTTTGAATGAAAACTTCTGCGCTTTGCACGCAAATTAAAGCGAATTTTTACGCAAATGCGTAAAATCATCAAAGCTAACAAATTTATAACTCTGCATAAAAAGAAATAGAAAAAAAAAAAAATTATATATAAGCTAAGAAATCAGAGAATTTTTAGCTCGAATTTGTACGTTTTATCCAGCTTTAGCCATAAACGAAAAATAAAGATTTCATTTTCAAGCTGTCCATAAGTCTTTAAATATAAATTCTTTAAATTCTTTAAAAATATTGTAAGACTTTACATATAAATATTATTCAGATATAATCCATCAGATAGTTCTTTAACACATTATATTTGTACACACACATATATATTATATTTTTTAATAGTTCTTATAATATTTGCAATTTGAATTTGCTTTTAGTATTTACATTTATTTAAATATATTTATTTTGCTCTTGCCAAATGCTTAATTACAAAGATTAAAAGATGCAAATGATATACATAGGTATATGTATGTAAGTATGTGACACACATAAGTCCTTGATACACATTTATCAAATAAACAAACATTTATAAACTAAAAAAAAAAATTGCAAATTTATATACAAATATAAATTAAGATTTTAAAGGTGCATAAATTTGATTAATAAGGTAATTGTTGTATATTAAAAATTGTATTCATTATTTATTATCATAATATGTATTTTTATATATTTTTTGCATAAAGAAAAATAAATAAATTTGTCACGAATTTTTCTATTATAATTAAAATAAAATTTTGATCAAATAAAAATATGCAATTTGTTTCGCTAGAGAATTTCTAGAGTTAAATGATTATTTTTTATTAATTATTTATTAAGCATATATATATCTCAATATATTCAATATCTCATTAATTGCCTTAAGACTTTTATTTATATAATATATAATCTAGACTGCATGTTTGCGATTTCAGTTTCAGTTTTCCTATAAAGTATTTCAATTTATTGCATTAGATAAAAATGTAAAACTAACATCAAATACATATACATATATCTCGAGTCAACAACTGTGTTCGGCTAACCGCTTCATAAATCTTATTATGACGACACACACGCGCTGTCTAATAAATTGAGTTCTGGTTAAACGTTCGTTCGATTTGAATGCTAAATCGAAAATCGTGAAACAAGCTACAAAATATATATACATACATACATACATTAATAAACTATTCGCATGCAAAACATGACAACGATGACAACAGCAACAACAACAACAACAGCACGAAGAAGAGGAAGAAGCAGCAGAAGATAGCTCAAAACACCCACCCGAAAGAACTTTCGCCAAATGCGAAAATTGAGGCTGTTAATAATTCTGAAGATTATGAATATATGTATATGTAGCTGGCCATAGAGTATTTGCATGATCAAACCAATATGAATTGTTCGTAAAAATTATTTATAAATAAACAATGCCAACACCAGCAACAGCAGCAAAAGTATCTCACGGATACGCAAAAACGAAATGTGATGAATGAATGACAACTGCAAATGGTGCTAAATTACTATGCATAAGAATTCTGTAAATTAAATTGAAATGGAAATTGAAATTGAAATGAAATTGAAAGGGGAAAACTAAACAGCTCTCAGTTAGCCGAAATGGAAGATTTAGTAACCTAAATACTCTTATGTTTTTTATGTGATTCGCTTGTTTTTCCTAAGCATTTATTAATGATTTAATAAGCCGTTTTCAAATTGAAAAAGAAAACAAAGCAATCGTTAAGGAGACTAAAAAAATGTGTGTGAATTTAAAATTAAGATATATTTTTTTTTTTTATAGTTGCTATAAATTTGAATACGTGAATAACTATAAATGTAAATCAAAATTATTTAATTTTTAGCTATTCAGCAACTCTATAAAGCTCAAGGCTTCTAGACAATGTTCTTTCAATCCTTTCCTTTCAATCAATATTCTAAATCCTTATTTAAACTGAATAATAATTGGGCAGCACCTAAAATTTAAATATTTACAGTATTTTATGTGTATTTATAGTATTTTATTGCGTGACATTTCTTCCTTTTATTAGCAGAGATCTACTTATATATGATTTTTGTTTCTTCAGTTTCAAATCTTTTAATTTCCATATTAATTCCTGAGTTTTGCCAAATTAATATTGAATATTTTCTTAACATTGTTCGGTTCGCTTGAGTCGCCTTTATCATCAAGTGGATTCTCAATTTGCAGCTGACTGTGAATCATTTATGTCTCTCCCCACCCAAAGGCCTCTGACTAAGCGTGCGCAGCGATTGAATATCATAATATTCCAATTGTAGACAAAGATTATATACATATATAAAGAGTATATATACATATATTTATATAAATATGTTTGTATACTTTTAATATCTTTATCCCATAAGTATATACAAAATTTGATTTGTTTAATAATTTTGTTTGCTGATGTTTACATTTTTGAATGTAATATATATGTACATATATATATATATATATATATATTCCCACTTGTATAAGCAATAAATATTATAAATAAATATATACAAAAATCAATAAAAAAAATTAATAAATAAATAAAAAACTAATTAAATAAATAAATGAATAAATAAAAAAATAAATAAATAACTGAATAAATATAATGAATAAATATAATAAATGAATAAATATATAAGTAAATGAATAAATAAATCAATAAATAAATGAATAGAAAAATAAATAAAAAATAAATAAATATCTAATAAAATAAACAAATGAATTAACAAAAATAAATAAATAAATGAATAAATAAATAAATAAAAAATATAAAAAAATAAGTAAATAACTAATTAAATAAATAAATGAATGATTAAAAAAAAAATAAATGAATAAAAAATAAATAAAAAATAAATAAATAAAAAACTTTATTTAATTAGTTTTTTATTTATTTATTTTTTATATTTTTTTTTAATTCATTTATTTTTTTTTAATGAATAAGTAAAAATAAAGAAATAAATGATTAAATAAATAAATAAATAAATAAATAATATAATATGTAATATAAATAATATAAATATAATATATTTATAATATAAATATAAAGCTTGAATTAAAATTGTAAAAATTTATTTTCGTATTTCTATCTATTCGATCTATATATATTTTTTTTTAACTATTCTCTATAACTATTTATCATGTATTTATATGGGATATTCTTTTCATCAGCTAATATAAATAAGTTGAAAATAATTGACATTAAAATGGATTTTCGTATTTTGCTAGAATTTAAACTTTGAACTAATTCATTTAATATTTGCCATGTAGCTTGGCTTATTTTATTTATTATAATTTTTTTTCATCAAATTTACGTATATAATCTGCCTGAATCAGCTTTTGATATTGATGCTCAGCTATTTTCCCAGACCTAACTGCAATTGGCTTATCGTCATACATTAGCTTAACCTCTACATCTCAAAGGTCAAAGATCACATTTGACATACTTATATGTAAATATACATATGCCTTATCAGACTGCCGTCGGCGTTTGGCTAGAATGTCTCACCTGTGTCTTGTAGTTTATGTCTCTGTTACGTATCACTGTCGCTGCTGCGAGTATCCGTGTTGCTGTTGTTTGATTTGTTGTTGTTTCATGCATTTGCATTTGAAGCTTTGTGTTTTTTTTTGTTTGTCGAAATTATCTGAGCGAATTTTCAAAACATGTGCACACACACGCACACACACACGCACTCACATGCGCTTTCATTCAACGCGCGCGCACACCTCCTCTCAGTATGTTTGTGTGTGTGTGTGTGGGGCATAAACGAAAATAACTGCGTCCGCGCAGACAGGCAACAAATTTTCATACGCACTGTTACCAGAAACACGTGTTGCAAATCTTTTGCGAAAAAATTTTCCGCTTTCGCGACTTAAATTAATTGCGTACAAGGTTTAAAAATAATAATAATAACAACAACAACAACAACAGGAACAAGAACAAGAATAAGAACAACAAAACACTAGACGCAAAATTGATAAAAAAACTTTTCAGTGGCTGTCGCCGCCTTTTGCTTTTCTTTTACTTTTCTCTTCTCTTATTTGCTTTTCTTTTTTAATTTTTTTGTATATTTTTTTGTTGTGTGCGCACGTTTTCGATTTATGTGAGTATTTTAGCGCTCGGCTTGATTCTATTTCTGTGCGAAAATCACTTTGTTGTGCGCGTTGTTTTTTGATTTATGCATCGGACATTTGTTTATTGCCGTTCGAAAAAACTTAGATCGGTTCGGTGCCGGCGGGGCCGTCGTACACAGGCGCACGAGCGACACCAACGAATGGGCAACAGAAATTTCAGCTGCGAACTGCGAACCGCACGCGAGCAACGCAAGAGAGTAACTGAGCATTGGACGAACAAGAAGGAGGAAAAATGCCGCTCAGGGCAAACGCAATGGCCAACCAAGCAAGCGAGCGCTGCGCCTGTGTTGGTGTGCATTCAAACATGCATGCTTGCTTGCATGCTGAGGTGTGTATGCGTGTGTGTGTGTGTGTGTGAGACTGCGAGTCTGCTGGTGGTTGCTGCCTGCTGAACGGTGAGCGGGAGCGAGAAGGCAATTGTTTGACATAGCAGCAGCGCATGCCAAACTGTAATGTTGTTCTCTTTGAATGTAAATTGCTCAATTAGAGAGGGTGTGAGAGAAGAGAGAAAGAGGCGAACACAGAGCTGGCCCTTCACATTATTATTATGAGCAAAATATTAATCGCAAAAGCAAATCAATTTGTTTCCAATTTATTTGGTTACGTATCATATTTTAAATTAAATATACATACTTACATAAGAAAACAATGTACATATCATTGTCAAATAAATTTTTAATAATAATTATTTTTATAATATATCGTAGTCATTTTTCAACTAAATAATTTTATTTTACACTTCACAACTATTTGATTTACAGAATACAGTGTAATTTTGTTGATCTTCTGATTTTTCGCTCTATGCACATTATTTTGACCGCCAGTGTCAAACTCATGCGAGATCTGTTGCTCTTCACAATTTGAGAGCCACTGTAAAGTGAACGGTGAACACACAACAGTGTGTGTGTGAAAGAGATGGTAGGCAAACAGGTTATATTTTGCAAGGCACTCGATTGTTATAGCTAGACACGCCTACTCTAAGCTACCTGTTTGTGAACAAACAGACACACACACACACACATGCACATACACCAATGTACACGCACGCGAGCTAGCAATAACAAATCGCTGATTGGTCAGCGCTCGGCTCGCTCTGACCCGTCATGCGCAATGGCCGCCATATTGATATTGATAAATGGGAGCGCACACAATATGCATGTAATGTAAAGTACATACATATAATATGCAAGCACACACACAGGCGCTCACTTTTGCGTGTGCGTGTGTGTTTGGTATGTAATTGCAGTGTGCTGTGTGTAGGCTTAAATGCCACCTTACCACAATCCTGCGGCAAGGATGCTACGCAAAATTATGCATCGTTCGAAATTCCCTTTTTTAATTATGTTCGTCTTTGTATTTCATTTCCATTGCTGCTCGCATTGCAGTAATTAACAAGGAGGCTGAGCCTTCGACAAGGATTGCTCGACTAGCAGACACTCAAATTGCAGATTTTATCTGCTCTAAGCCTGTTTTATTTATGCATAAACTTATGTGCGAAAAATTAAATATGATCGAGATATTGCATCAATTTTTATGCTGTTACTCTCTCTCTCTCTCTCTTCCTTTCTCTCTCTCATTTAGCCTGTCTGAAAAAGTTAACTTTTACCTCCCTGTTGCATTTTAGTTCACAAAGCAATATTACCCTTTTGCAAATTTCCTGAGGGCATACAAAATAAATCGAAATATTCAAATGCAATTAAAAATATTACATGTATGTATATGCATATTAACATAGGAAATAATTGTAGATCCCAAAGCAATAAAAGCTCAAATTTCTGTAATTATTTTATTTATACCCTTGCTGGTCAGATATCAAAAAGGAATTATTTAATATATGATATAATGATAATTTGTAAATGAATTTGCTCATTTTTAACTTGTCAAACAATTAATTAAATCCAATAATAATAATATAATAAATACAATAATAAGAATAATTAAATACAATATATAATAAATTAGTATATTATCTATATTAATATATTATCAATTATATAAAAATTATATATGTATGTAGGTCTATATACATTTTTAAATTCGAATCTTTCTGAAAAGTTCTATATCATTATAGATTGTATACAATAATAATAACATAATAAATACAATAAAAAGAATAATAATAATAATAATTAAACACACTATATAATTAATTAGTATATTATCTATATTTATTATAAATTATATATTATAAATTATATACGAATTATATATGTATGTAGGTCTATATACATTTTTAAATTCTAATCTTTCTGAAAAGTTTTTTTTTTCATTATAGATTGTATTTGTTTATATACCAACGGAGACCAAGTGCTTAAGTTTTTAAGTGTAAAATTTAAAGCATATAAGGTTCTACCCGATTTATTTATATAAATTAACATTATTATCTGATCTGAAATTATACAACAGCCAGACTTTAACATCAATATATTATTAGAAATCCATATTCATCATAAAGAATGAATACTTTGTGAACGATCATAAATATTAAGATCACTTTAGTCTGGTAATAATTTGGATGCCTTTAATTCTCTTGCAATTCCTCCATACAATTCCATTTAAAGGTAGATACAGAGTTATATTTCAGGTACTTATGACAATCATATGGAATGTGGATAAGGAATTGTGTGTGGGGAAAGATTGGGATTAGGGTAACTTCTAGTCAACGCTCCCAGCTTATCTCTGACTTTATGAATGAGCTTGATCATACAGATATGAACATGAATATACTTTATCATAGGCAACATCATCTGTCTCTTTCTGCTCTATTCCTAACACTCTGCCTGTTGATCTTTATCAACTCAACGCATGCCGTTAATCTCTTCGATACAAACGGAACAATACAGACACAAATTTGGTGTATTTGTGTTTGTATTTGTATTGGAGCTTGGCTCGCTTAGGTATTCAAAGCTAATTACCCACAGGCAGACAAAAATCACGTCGCGTTTGGAGCCCATTGGGGAGGCGGGGAAGTGGAGGACTGCAAAAGGGCTCAAGCAGCGAAACGCTTCAAGTTAAGATTTATGACGTAAAATTAATAATCATTTCAACTAAATTAATAACACGCTTCACAAATGATTTACAATGTGCCTCTCTCATTCTCTCCCTCTCTCTATCTCTGTCTCTCTATATATATTCGTATATCTGAAAAGATATGAAACGAGAAAAGTTTATGAAACTCTTTCTAATAATTTTGATCTCTAGTCAGCTGCCTAGTTGGGGGCGCCGTTTCATTAGGGTCCGAGGCGAGGGCGCTTTGTTTACCCAACAGCTTGTTGCGGGTCTCAGGTGGGCACAGCAGGTGATATTCTTGGACTTGACGAGCGCGCGTGCGCCACACTCGTTATTATCTTCATTTTTAACACCCAAAAAATGGTATATGGGTAAGGGGTAGGGGTTGGGGTAGAGGTAGAGGTGGGGGCAGCGACAGATGACGTCCAGCACTTTCTTCCAGCATCTGCTGTGCGTTCGAAGTTCGAACCGTCGATCGACGTTAACCACACAGAATGTGGTGTTGATCGCTGCTGCAGCTCGTTTTCTCATTCATGTTGTACAAGATTTTTATCGCGTTTGTTTTCCATCTTCTTCTTCTTCTTCTTCCATGTTTCATTAACATATTGCGGGATCGTTTTCTTGTTTGTTTGCTTGCTGTTGTTGTTGTTTTATGTTTTTTATGTTTTTTATGTTCCCTTTGGCTATTTTGACATTTCCAACTGTTGTCACTGTCCCGCCGCTCCAATGGGGAGTTCTGAAATCTGATCTGTTATTATGTAAATTTGATGATTCCCTAATTCCCTAACACTTATTTGAGCATTCCTGCTGCCGCGTCTGGCGCCCAAATAAATTGTTTTCCAATGGCAAATTCCACATTGATTCCAAAAGCTTTGCTTCGTAATCAATATGCGATTTGTTTGGACAAGTTTCGAAGATCGTCGAGATTAACTGCAGTTCGATCGACTCCTACATACATCCAGCGAGCATCGATCGCCGATTCGGCGCCTAGCCCAGCCGCATCGTAAATCTAATCAACTGTTTTCTTTCTTGTGTTCTCTCTCAGTAGTTTCATTTGCTTTATGGACCTGTTATTGCTTAGACTTCTTCTTATCAGCCGGGTGGTCTCTGATCTTTCTTCGCAGTGAAAGGATTTTAATGAAATGAAATGTGGTATAAAGTATATGGTATATGGTATAAATATATATGGTATATTATATATGGTATATTATATTTGGTATATGATATATGGTATATGATCTATGGTATATTATATATAGTATAACTATATATGGTATCTGATATATGATATATGGTATGATATGTGATATATGGTATATGGTATATTATATATTGTATATTATATTTGGTATATGATATATGGTATATGGTATATTATATATGGTATAAATATATATGGTATCTGATATATGATATGTGGTATATGATATATGGTATATTATATATGGTATA